CGGGGCTATGCCTCTTTAAATCCAGGAGGGGACCATATGAAGTGAGGGTGGAGAGCTGTCTTTCCTCATCAGACTCAAAACATCTCTCTCTGCCCAGATCTCTGAACCTGTTCAGGTGTATGGTGGGCTCTGGAGTGACCAATATTGAGCATATGGTTAGCCTTAATTCCAGTACTTGTTTGCTTGTCTACCTGATCAGGTTATATATTTAAAATAACCATTCTTCCTCTTTCTACCACCACTCCCCCCACTGCCCTTGTCCCCTGCCCATCTCCTTACCAAGGCCGCCAGCCGCTCCCGGTCCTCAGCCTTCCCCACGTGGCACACTGTGCCTGACACGCTCAGCCCCTCCCCCTGCAGCTCTGCCACTGCCCGGTCCACGTTCTGCTGCTTCCGGCTGCTGACCACCACGTGGGCTCCGTCCTGGGCCAGACGTCTGGAGATGGCAAAGCCGATCCTGCAGGCAGAGATGGGTGTGACAGTTTTAGCCCTCCCCACCCTCCTCCTGGGAGGCTCATCATGAAACACAAATTGAGTTCCACAGTGTGATTCAAGAGCTGCCTCCAAATCATTCCAGTGGGAAAGAGGAACTATTGAATGCTTACTATATATCAGACCTTCACCAAGACTAACCTAGTTAATTCTCACAACTATATGTATAATAATCATATGGATGAGAAATTTTTCGTATCAATTTAATTAAAGGGAATTTTAGAAAAGTAATGTTCCATCAGAACATAGGTAAACATGTTGGGCACCCAGCGTAAATAGTAGAGAATCTTTAACTGCCCAGTGTTTTCTCCCTTTGTTCCAGCCAGAGGCCTCTGGTATAAATTGCACTTTCTATAAGCCTTAAAGCTTTCCTCTGTTCTGCAATTGAAAAACTTTGATGCTGAGAACATGTTCTGTCCCCCTCTCTATCTCTTACTTTAAGGAGTCTGAGGCACCCTTGACTGGGGCTGGTTGAGCACCTGTGATCAAGGACAGAAGGCATATTTCCCCTTATATAAACTGTCAGGGCAGGGTGGGATTTTAAATTATTTGTGATGAGGGCTGGGCATTGGGGACACACAGATTTAAAACATCCCAGGGATTTGGAAGTCTGGACTATTAACAATTCTAAAATAAAGGGATCTAAATTTGACCATGGAAGGTTAAAAGGAAGATGAAGCCCCTGAAGCACTCAACACTAGAATTCTTCCCTCATACCACCTGCGGTAATGACTCATTAAAGACTGAGGCCCATTGCGGCAGTTAGAGGATGAGTGGAATTGGAGGGACATAGGAAGAAATGTGATCAGGAGAGGTTCATCTATGTAAGCTCTCTGAGCTGGTCTTGAGATGCCTCCCTGCCCAGTTCCTTACTGCCAGTGTGCACTCCATAGTCAATGAAGTCCATAAGTCTAAGAGACCAATAGGTCTTGGGCTTCTCCCTATTAGACCAGGACCCTAAAAGACCATGGCCACTGCCCATGAAGGCTGTCTTGATGATGATAAGTTAAATATCTTAGGGTTACCCAGCCAGTAAGTAGCAGAAACTAGATCTAAACACTGCTTTGATTGAATCAGAAGCAGCTCATTTTCCAAATCTATCATTCTTGGAACTTAGAAACGAGATGTTTTAGGGAGACACGTTGAGATTTGGAGTAAACTGTAAATGCCAGAGCTCTGTAATTAGGTGGGGGCGTCAGGAAGGGTGTGAGAGAAGGACATCCCCTACTCTGGGATGGAGACTCAAACATCTGGCCACGTGGACTCCCATTCACTCACCCATTTGTGGACCCAGTAATCACAGCCACCTTCCCAGACAGGGTATAGCTTCTATCTGCTGTTTTGCTGCTCATTCTTGCTGAAAGAAAGACTGAGGAGCAATGAAGATTCTTAAAAGTCCATGATGCAGCCCTGAACATGGTAGTCATTGTCTGGCTTCTCTCCTTCTGGACCCAAAGCTGGGGAAGAACCTGGGAAAACAATCATATCATGAACCATGCTGGAATCTGTCTCCACACATCCTTCGTGGGAGGGTTCCACTGAAGTCTCTGATAGATGTTCTATCATCCTTTAAACTTACCAGGAAAGTACAGAGCTGCTTCTGTCCTTTCCACGACCTATTCCCTTGATGGGCTTCCCCGAGATGCTGGGCCCCTGTATGTGCCTGAGTGATACTCACCCCCCCCCCAAACAAGGAATATCACTGTACTCTTCTGAGAGTCACCTTTGTACTTCCCTCCATATATCTGTTCTTCCACAAAGAAATTGCACTGAACTTTCTTCTCAGCTTTCCCCAGCCTGTTGCAACTACCCTAGTCCAAGGTCTTATCACCTCCTCAATCTGCTGCAAACTCCTCTTCCTTCAGCTCCCCACCTGAAGCAACAGCAATTGCTCTCTCATGAGATATACTAAACTCGTCAGCATTTCTGATAGGCAAGTTGCTTCCTCTCATCACAAACGACTGTAGATAAAAGTCCAGCCACTCCCCCTTTGTTTTAAAAACTTGTGTAGGGCTTGTACCCGCACATCTCCTGAGCTCCAGGCCATATTGCCCAGGCCCACCTGCCCAAAGATCCCATGGCACCTGTGTCATTATAACTGTATTAGCGACACCTCATATCTGCAACAACTTTCTCTCAACCCACACCTTTCATTTCAAACCTCCTCACCTTCTTATACAGAGATCAAAGAACAATAATTATCTTAGGTTGGCTACCTCAGAATCACTAAAAAATCAAGTAGTTTTGGAGAGGGAAGACGGCGGCACTGTGAGAAGCAGCAGAGGGCCCCCTGCTCCCAGCCGTTGACTCAATTTACTCCTAATATCCTACGTAGCCAGGTGGAAAAAAACAGAGAAACATACCTGAGTGGACAGAGTGTGAGTGGGGAGCACTGAAGAAACATCATAGAGTTGGTAAGAGGGGGGCTTAGAAAAGGGGAGTCCCCCCTGAAGCCTGTGCCAGGCTCCGAGCCCTGAGGCTTGGAGGCTGCAAAGCTCCCTGTCCTTTTGGAATGCTGACCGGCCTCTAAAAGCAGGGATCGCACACTCGGAGCCATGAGAGGGAAGAAGCACCCCACGCGGAGGCTGAGGGACCCAGGGGAGCGGTGAGTCCGCGAGGAGGGGACTGCGCCTTCCTAGGAAACAAAGCTTCTAATGGCAGCTGCAACCGGGGTCTGATGCTCAGGGTGCCGACCATAGGAAAGGCTGTCCCAAAGTGTGTGGCACCCAAGTAGTAAGGGACCAGAGGTCGGGACTGAGCAACCACTCACAGGGACCCTCTGCCTCCCTGTAAGGCAGTGTGTTGGGCCCCAGAAAGCATTTGATCTGTGCGGTGCAGGGAAGGGGAGGAGAGCCCTCCCGTTCTGAGCTCCTGGTGTGGAGAGTCTGGGATCTGTGACCAGCCCTGAAGGGCACCATGGTGGCCCGTGGAGCTGCCTAAGCATTACTGAGACCAGCGGTGCAGGGGAGCAACATGGAGCTGACTTTGGGTCCCCTCCCGCTGGGTGCCTTGGTGCGGGGGTGGCAGGACCTTGCAGGGTGGACTCTCTGCCTGTGTGTTGCTTTGTGCATTTGTGAGTCTGATCTAGGAACTGGCTCCCACCTTCCCGGCATGTACTGGGCTGACAGACCAGTGGAGGTTGGGATTGGGGTCTGCACAATAGACCGTCTGAGGGGTGGGTCTTGCGCGACCAGCCAACCAGATCTGGGAAGGGAGGGGCGGAGCCTGCCTGCCTCGCCTGCAGCCAGGAGCACCGCCCCCAACAGGAAAGGGGGGGTCCAGCTCACTGAAGCCCCAGACACACCCACAGGGCACAGTCCTGAGGGGGAAGGGAGAGCAGCTCACAGGAGGACATTACAAGCATAAGACACTAAGAGACTGTTGGTTGAGAGCTGGAGGAAATCCTGCAACACCTGCTGGGGGCTTCACAAGCAAAGGGCTCACTGAAATGTTTTTAATCAAACCCACTGAGCCCAGGCTGCTGAAACGGCCCATACAGAAAAAGCAACAGGTGGAAATCAATCTGAAGCTGCAGCAGGCCAGAGCATGGGGAACTAGAATCAGAGGACAGGATAGAGACAGAGGATCTGGCTGTGGAGCAGAGACTAACTCTATCAGAGTGAGTGCCTGACAGTGAAACCTCTAATTAAAGGGAGTGATGACCCAGAGCTACACTAGCCACCTTGCACCCTAAAGACTCTACAGAAGACTCTGGAGTAAGACCAGGCAACTACAAGGTTGCAAAATAGCTGACAAGAGGAGGTGGCCCACAGAGAGCCTCAGATCAACCATCTACCTAAGGACACCAGAGCCAAACCTAGACGGCTCCTCACATTGGGTGATACACAAGTACCTCCCAGGAGAACAGAAAACAGCATACAAAACAAAGAGCTGTAGACAACATAAGCTGCTCAGAATAAACTCACCTGATTGTCTTTTTTTTGGTTTGTTTTTCTGTTTTTGTTTTTTGTTTGTTTGTTTTTATCTTTTTCCCTTAGGAAGAAGAGAAAAGGGAAAAAAATTATTTGTTTTTTCTTTTTAAATTTTAAAATAATTTTTTTTAATTAAAAAAATTTTTAAATGAATTCTTTTCCTTTTTTTTAAAGAACTTTGTCTTACTTAGCTTGTTTTTTGTTTTGTTTCTCTGTTTTGTTTTGCTTATTTTCTTTGTTTTGTTTTATCCTTGCTTCCACTACCAAGACTTTATTGATATTCCTGCTTAATTGCTGGCACTTTATCATTATAACCAACAGGTTTACTGCTTTCCTCTATAGTTTCCCCCAGATCTCTTATTGGACTCCCTCCCTGCCCAGGCTTTATCTCTCTCTCTCCTCTCCATCCATTGGCATAACTTTTTTTCCCCTTCTTCTTTTCTTTCTTTTGTTTTCCTCCCTTCTGTCTTCCTGTCTTTTTGTTTGATTGTTAGTTTCTCTTATTTTCTTTATTGTATTTTTATTTTTTCATTTTCAACTATTATCCTATTCCTATTCTCTCCCTTAATTTTTTGCTGGTCCTTCTTTCAGAATCTTTTCTCTGCCTCTATTATTTCCCAGTAGCTTCTCTATTTTTTACATTTTATTTTATTATTATTTTCTAAATTTTCATCACTATTAACAACATATACTTTTCTCTCTCTAAGCCTTACTGTCCTTTCTCTCTTTCTTTTTTTTAACCTTTTCTTTTTTTTTCTCTTCTAGAATTTGTGTTCTCCCTTCACTCTCCCAGTTCTATTTTCACTTGGGTTGTTTTCATTGTGACTGTGAAGACATTTTGTAAGATACCCCTTGTTTCCTGGAAGTTTAGTTGTGTATTGTCCTGCCTTGCTGGCACCCATACAACAGCTTACACAACGAGGTTGGGGCTGAGACACAGTTAGACAACCTGAGAGGAGAGTCCTCCAAAGGACTCGTCAACAACAATCTAGACCTAACCACAACAGGAGAACTCAAAAAAAAACCCAGAAAAAGGGCATGCCTAGAGCAGAGAGCTCAGAAGTATAAGGAAAACACACCTCTGGCTTCCGCTGGACTCACAAGACAAAATCCCACTCCACAGGACTGAGAGACAGCAAATATATCTAATATATAGATACAAACTCTAAGACCTACCAAAATGGGGAGACAAAGAACTTCCAAATTAAAGAAAAGGAAAAATCGCCAGAAAAAGACTTTGATGAGATGGAGTTAAACAAACTATCAGAAACAGAGTTCAGAGTATTGATTATAAAAATGTTCAAGAAAATGAGAAAAACAAGGCACTAGATGGTAAGATCGAGGAACTTAGTGAAAACATGAAAAAAGAGATACACAACATAAACAAAAATCAGACAGAAATAAAGAATGCTGTATCTGATATCAAGAATACACTGGAAGGTATCAAAAGTAGGCTCAATGAAGTAGAGGATAGAATAAGTGACTTAGAGGACAAGGTAGAAAAAAATCACTCAATCAGAGCAGCAAAAAGAAAAAATACTTAAAAAGCATGAAGACAGTCTAAGGGAACTTTGGGACAACAGGAAGCGAAACAACATTCACATTATAGGAGTGCCAGAGGGGGAAGAAAGAGAGCAATGGATAGAGAAGTTGGTGGAGGAAATAATGACAGAAAACTTCCCTACTCTGGTGAGGGAGAAAGCAACACAAGTTCAGGAAGCACAGAAGGTTCCAAACAAGTGGGACCCAAAGAGACTCACCCCAAAAGACATCATAATTTAAATGGCAAATGTCAAGGACAAAGAGAGAATATTAAGGGCTGCAAGAGAGAGATAAGTAGTGACCTAGAAGGGAACCCCCATAAGGCTGACATCAGATCTCTCAAACTCTTCAGGCCAGAAGGGAGTGGCATGAAGTTCTCCAAGTAATGAGAAGCAAGAACATGCAACCAAGACTGCTTTATCCAGCAAGGCTATCATTTAAAATTGAAGGTGAAAAAAAGAGCTTCCCAGACAAAAAAAGTCTAAAGGAGTTCAGTATCACCAAACCAG